CCACACCCACACCCACACCCACACCCCACACCCACACCCACACCCACCCACATCCACACCCACACTCTGAAGCAGGTTTTAATTTTATAGCTTTTACATTTGAAAGTCTAATGTGTCGGAGAGCAATTTGAAGGAAAAGGTTCATATCATCCTTACTCAATACAGTGATAGTTAAGTCAGGTATTTGAGGGATAGTGCCATCCATTTTCGAATTGATACCGAAGAATGATCGAAATAATTCAATGATACGAAAAAATTTGAATAGTTCACCAACTAACTCTGTCAAAAAGATTTCGATAGTTGTTATAGAAGCCGGTAAACGATCAGACATTGTATGTAGTAAGAAAATCCGAAACATCAAGGGAAAAAAGTAGGAAACTCCTTTCAAGTACGGATAAGCTGGCGTATTAATACAATAAGCAAATAGATCAGAAGAAAGCAGAAACTTTCGAGATTATTATAACACAAATCGAAACAAAATAATAGCGCCTCTTTTTTATTTCGTCGCTGTTCTTGAACAATAACTATAAAATTCGAGTACATGAAAAGAAAGGTAAATCATCATATCATTAAACAAAAGATAGATAAGAAGCTAAATTTTTTTCCCTTCCTGCCCGTTTTTTTACGATAAGAAAAAAGTCTTAACTTTAATTTCTCTTCTCTCAGTTAGTGACTTAGTTTAAAAACAACAAAAATTAATTAAACTCAAAAAGTAAAGTGTTACTAGCAATGCACCTGAAAACATATCAATCACAATACTGTTATCACAAACAAAATCTTGAAAGTGGGTGGGCGTGAGAAATATATTCATCTGACACCCGGATCCTCATCCACCTATCCATCTGTGATATATGATGACAATCGCCATTCAACGAATCTAATTTGTGTCAGTATGTTTCCTTTTCGATCCTCTATACGCCATGCATATTTTTCGAAAAAATAAATAATGAAAACTTGCCGTATAAATCTATGAACAAAGAGGTCTTTGCGGAACGTATTTGTTCAATTTTCAGACGTTTAGATATTATTGATGAATTTCAAGACTTATCTTTTAAAACCAGAACTTTTCGCAGTTTAAACTAGATAACTATAAGTTAATACCCGGATGAAGTTACTCATTTTATCTACTTTTGTAATTACTTTGATTGAAGTTTGTCCTGTAAAATGTTCAATGTACTTCTCTTTGTTAGATGCCACAATAAACAAGCTTTTTTTAAACAGATTATCGTATTGATCGTTTTCAAAACATCGATCAAACCTTTCGATTTCATAATATAACTTGTTAAACCCCATAAATCCATTATAAAATGAAGTTCAATAAATGATACAATCGATTACCCGTATATCGGTAAATACCGATAGATGAGTTTAGATTGGAGTATTATAATCATCGCACACATACACCTTCGCATACTTTATTCATTAGTTGTTGGAGCTGTCTGTTGCTTGATTTTAAGATGCCTCATAATAAATCGTCCGACGAACACTAAAATAAGAATTAGCCAAATAGCATATGTGACGATAATGACAGCGAATGCAGTCCAAAATACAGTCGGATGACAGTAAGTTAAGGATTGGGTAGGATTCGTGGATTGAAATCCATTTGAAAGAGCTCCAAATACCCAGATTTGACCGACTATCAACCATGTAACGGAGAAGAACAATACAATAAGCTGTCCGATCAGACTACCACCAACCAAATATCGCGCATATGATGAAGAACTGGACGATCTTTTAATATACTTAGCAGCGATGAAGCCTATAAAAAGCACTATTCCGTTCATCAAACTCGAACAGCCATGAATAATCAAAAAGATGTTGATTAGTGGTTGAATGGGACATTGATTTACATAATTTATACCATAGTACAGTTCGACAGCGAAAGAAGGAATCGTTAAAATACTCTGAAAGAAAGTTGCCGGTGACGAAAGTTGAATCGCGGCTTTGTTTAATCGATCCTCTTGTGGAACGCTAGGTTGTTGCTCTCGATCGGAAAAAGTGCTCGTAGTAGTTGTATTTTGGTCAGTATTAAAGACATTTGCGTTATTAGGAATAGATTGCAATTGAAACATGCTGAATTGTTCAACTAATTACTGAATATAAAATGAGTGAGAAGATAGTATAAGCATGCATCGCCCAAAATAATGACTACTCTCTAGAAATAAGCGTAGAATAATAAACACCAAGAGGATCAACCAATAAAATGCTACGAAGAAATTGTATCGTCTTCTGACTATTGTAATTCTTCATTCGTCGTATTAAAAAAAAACTTAAATAATGACGAGAAAAAGAAAAATTTGTATTCAGCTTAGAATGACAATAAATGACTAATAGAAAAAGATAAGAAAAAATGATTATTGTTAAACCAACTAAACTACATGTGTGCACTCAAAGTCAGCAGCATGTATCACGG